AAGAGTGCTCCTCTGAAATTTGCCATGAATTGAGATACTGATGAGAGGCGCGAAGTAGCTGTGTACGGAGAACTGGCACACCTTGAAAGCGCTGATCATCATCGACATAATCTGAATAAACTGTGTTCTAGCTAAGCGTAAATTATGTATATATTTCATTAATTCTGTTCGCAATGCAATGGGATGGTGATCTAATAAGGATAGACCCTGGGTCATCTCCGTTCGAATAGTCAATCCGTTAGTCCATTAATTCTCTGATAAGTATTGCCTGGAAATATCTATTTTTCCATCACCTTAATACTTCGTTCTCGTTTATTTAGACGATATGTTTGCATTTGAATCCTCAACAAGCGACTATTTTCCTCAGGTTCTTACAATCCTCGAGCTCTTTGTCCACGGACCGGAGATGCTGACTGCTATGTCACCTTCGAGCCCTACCTGGACGCTATCATCAAGGACTACCATGGCGTCAAGCAAAACGACTTCAAGCATCCGGCACCCACTTTCGGTGACCTCGATAAGCTGCCATTTGGCGATCTGGATCCCTCTGGTAAGTCTCCAACACAAGTAATTTGATGTCTACTCATTCTGATTTTTATACTATAGATGATTTCATTCAAAATGTCTTAAATATAATCCGATTATAAATGATCTTTTGCAGATTTTAATAGTTTGGTTTTTATTAGTTTTGTATTTGGGTCGGCGGGGTGTTTTCAGATTATTGCCGATATTGCTTTATTTTATACTTTTCATTGTTCACTATTTCGCTTTTTCATCATACAGTTCTTTTTATGGAGCCCACTGGTATGAAGTTGGGATTGATGCTGGCCGACAGAAGGCTAATTATCAGCTAATGAAGGGCCTCTAAACTTCAAAGTATATTTAGGAATGAACCTTATTTAATGTGTTCTTTTCTATTTCATATTTTGCTTCTTTTATGTATATTTCGACGTCAGGATGAAGCATTTTCCAATTTCTAACTTCCGAAAATTGCTGATTTTATCCA